ACAGCAACCCTGGTGTGTGAGAGTGTACTCAACCCATGGAAGCACAGCTGATTCCCAGGGCTTGTTCTTCCATTTGAGGCCTCAAACAGGGTCACAGCGAAGGCAAAGCACCACAGACTCAGACATGGAGATGTGAAAACTTGTAAGCCTTGACCTGGAAGGATTTTATTTTCCTTTCTAAGTGGTAGATGTTTGGTTCTCCATGAGGGAAATGTTACTCTCTTCATGAACCCAAAGATTATAACTCAAGAATAAGTTCAAACTTAAAGCAGAGAGTTTGGATTAAGTAACAGAAGTAAGATAGGATGTGTATGTTTATATGCAGATGGAAAATGTGGGTATTTTAGATTTAAATTTCATAAATTAGAAGTAATTAGTAATTTTAACGTTAATTTGGGGATTTTTTTTCTTAGTTTTTCATTTTAAAAAAATACAAATTTCTGACTTTATTTATTTGCATTGCAGTAATAATGTTTAATCAAAGGCTGGGTTACACTGTTAGGCCTTCTGTCGGATGCTTCAGGCACCAATAGCAAAGCAAGTAAATCTTCCTTATTTCCTTAAAATTCTTTAAAATAAATTGCAACTAGAGGGAAAATAAATAATAATGCCCACAATATAGGCGTGACAGTTTTGGTGTCTTTAAATATATTTTTAAAACATTTTTACATCTTTGCTTTTACTTGAAGCTCAGTTATTTCATTGTTTTATTATCAATACTTTAAACTTGCTTAATTTATTTTTTATTTTTTTGAAGATGCCTCTTGTTCATATGTTTTAACTGATAATTCATATGTTATTTATCCTTATATTTATTTTTCTGTCTCTGTTTTTTCAGCTTTTTTCAGTTTTTTGTTGTTTCCCATTTTTTTATTATTTGATATATTTCAGCGTTTCTTTTTTAGTCATCTGTGTTGTTCACCATACAAGGCAACTTCATAACCAACCAATGTGTTGTTTCACTACGTAAGCTGAAAATCTTTATTTACAGAAATGTACTTTTTCAAAGATGCAAGCACATTAAGAAACCCTAAAAGAATGTATAATCAAGGTAAATAAATAAAACAAAGAAAAACACTTTAGCCAACCAAGTGCCATTATTCTCAGTTGGCTGTATTGATTGGTACCGCTCCTTTAACATGTTGTTAGGTGTGTGACAGACAGATCTCTGGGCTTTGTGAGAGGCCCAAAGATTTTCACACATCTCATTGAGCGCCTGGTGAGAGACACCACAGTCTGTCCTTCCCTTCCTCACTTAGGAAATCAATAAGATGCTTCCATATGTGCTTATTCACGTGGATCACTTTCTTCCCTGAAAAATGCCCAAGGCATAGATATGTAGTCCTCTGAGCTGGAATGCAGTGACTTGGGATGCTGATGTCCATCCCTCCTTGGAGATTTAACAATTGTTGTCTTTGTGCAAACAGTGGGTTCGATCACACTGTTGTCTTTGATGTCTTAGTTTATGGCTCCCCCTTGTGGTTAATACAGAAAATTATAAAATCAGAGGAGTTGAAGGCCTGTGTTTATTTATTTTTTTTATTTATCCTTTATTTAACCAGGTAATACCCATTGAGATTAAAAATCTCTTTTGCAAGGGAGACCTGGCCAAGATAGGCATCAAAATTACATCACATCATTACATACCTACAAAGACACACACATAAAAGCCAAATATGCACTTACAATAAAATTTCAAATAAAACATTGACATGTGAGGGAGTCCAACTCAAAACATCTCATTCTCAGCTTAAAAGTATTCAAAGGAACCAATTTACTAAGTTTCAAGTTATTTTGCAGCAAATTCCATGTAAAGGGAGCAGAGTAGGCAAAGGTCTTTTTACTCAGTTCAGTACTGACATGTGGGACAGAAAACAAGACAACAGCCTGAGAACTGAGAGAGTAATGACCAGTTCTTTTTTTCATAAGAAGTGAACATAAATAAGATGGAAGTACACCAAGAATAGCCTTATATATAAATATATACCAATGACAAAGCCTCCGTGTAGCCAAGGCAGACCACCCTACGCGAGAATACAGCTCACTGTGATGGGTGCGAGCTTTACAATTAGTAATAAATCTCAATGATGCGTGATAGGCTGCGTCAATCATCTTCAGGCATTAAGCAGATGAATGCATATATAATATATCACCATAGCCCAGCACAGTTAAAAAAGTGGATGCCACCAACCATTTTTTTTTACATTAAAAGAAACGCACAGCTTATTTCAAAAGTAAAAACCCAATTTTAGTCTCAACTTTCTCACTAGACAGTGAACATGCTTAAATCATGCAGTGACAGGCTTAAATGATAGGTGGTCATCAATGACAATACCAAGATACTTATAAGTTGTAACAATCTGTATTTCACGACCATCAAGAGTAACCACCGAAGGAACATTCAGTGGCCTGTTCCGAAGGTACGAAGGTCTGTGAAAAGCATACATTTAGTTTTGTCTGCATTGAGCACAAGTTTCAACTGTAGCAAAGTATTTTGGACCACATTAAAAGCATTCTGTAAGTGTGCAATGGCTTGTTTAAGAGAAGATGCACAGCAGTACTATCATCTGCATAAAAATGAAAATTTGCATCAGACACATGCCGATTAAAATCATTTATATAAATAGTAAACAAATAGTAAACAAAAAACAATCTCACCAAGAAAAATGTTTTTTATTTAGTATATTGTGTGGCAGAGGAGGATTTTTCTTAAAACAACGTTTTTTCTGCCAATTGGGTTCATTCTGTAGAGTTTTCTGTTTCCATTCAGCCACTTAGAGAATTTCCCAACAAGGTATGTTTTCTCCAAGATGTATGATCACCAATGAAGTAGAAGTTGTGATACCTCCACTGACTGTCACTGCATAAATAGCAAAACTGACTAAAAGGGTCAAAACATAGGAAGAGAAGAGAAAGTTGAAACACATGAATGACCAGTAAAGCAGATCTCAGACAGGAATACTCGAGGTGGAGAGAGTTGCCGGACCACTTTGGACTGAATCTGGACTTCAAACTGCCTGTAGTCCTCTTAGATAGGTGTCTATTCATTACTTTTATTATTACATGTGCACATTCTCACTTGCACAAGGAGTGGGTGGAACATTTATCAATAGGAGAAGGTTAGGGGTGGGCTCCTCAGTAATTGCTCAAGCAATTTGACTGAAGTAAAGACGGTTAATTGTTAGAAAATGTACCCCCAAACCCAAGGTCATGTTTCTCAACTGGAAAAAGGTGGTTTTTCCCCTTCAGTTTGGAGGAGTTCAAGTATCTTGGGGTCCTGTTCACAAGTGAGGGGAGAATGGAGCGGGAGATCGATAATTGGATCGGTGCTGCTGCTGCTATAATGGAGATGCTGCACCGGTCGGTCATAGGGAAGAGAAAGCTGAGCATAGACCAAAGCAACAAGATCCCAGATACAGGCAGTTAAATGAGCTTTCTCCACAGGGTGGCTGGGGTCTCCCTTAGAGATAGGGTGAGGAGCTCGGCCACACAGGAGAGGCTCAGAGTAGAGCTGCTTCTCCTCCACATCGAGAGGAGTCAGCTGAGGTGGCTCGGACATCTTTTTGGATGCCCTTGGGACGCCTCCATCAGGAGGGGTTCAAGGCACGTCCCACCAGGAGGATGCCCATGGGAAGACCCAGGACATGCTGGAGGTACTATGTCTCCCAGCTGGTCTAGAAGAGCCTATGACAGACACCTTGGGAGCAGGTGTTTGCAGAGAGGGAAGTCTAGGAGTATGTCCTGAGACTGCTTCCCCCATGACCAGGTCTAGGATGAAGTGGGAGACGACGAGTACTAGTATGACTACAAGTTTACATAGTCATTAACGTTTTGGGTTTCATTACCTCTGCACTAATACTGTGATTTTTTTTATCAACTGATTTTGACAGCCTTTCAGGATTGGGAGGAATTTTGACAAAATTTTCTATTGATCAAAATCTACATTATATTAGGAATTGATGAAACATCAGTTTCCCTGTTTGAGTCAGCAGCCCTGTTGCGTCCTGATTTCAGTTCTCAGGCTTGGGTTTCTCTGCACCGAGTCTGCATGTTCTCTCTGTGTATATCTGTTTTCCTTCTAGTACTCTGACTTCCTTAAAACGTAAAAAAAAAAAAAAAAAAAAAAAAAAAAAGTTATTAATTAGTTTGCTGGGATTGCAAAAGAATTAATTATTTCTTTTATAACAGAATTATGGAATCATCTGCACCTATCTAAGTTACCAAGGAACAACATAGAACTAAGCCATCTGCTCCACATAATAAAGTGAACATTACTTGTATATATGAAAAGGAACTTCAGCTCAACATTATTGGATGGTAATCATTAGTTAGGCCATCTACTCTAAAAAGTTTGAATAAATGTATTAGGTTACGCCAAGCCATTGGGAAGGCTAGATGAAAGGATTTAATATTAAAACATAGAAAACATTACTAAGGATTGCATGTAGGACTTATATAGGATTATGGATGCAAACTTCATTTGACAAAAATGAAGAAAAGCAACAAGAAATATGAACACAAAAGTATAAGTGGTCATTTTTTCCTGTGTGTCTCTTTCTCTCCATGCAACAAGCAGCTACAGGAAATTAAGGGGGATGAATTTTTCCAATATATACAAAAAGTAATATTTACTTTTGACGTGGTCTATACCACAATATTTTTATTTATGAATGAAAGATATACCAGAGCAGTCAACAGTGAAAACTTTTGTTTTCTTAATAACCAATGATTGCAGTTTTTTTTTTTTATGGTAACATCAGTAACTTCAGAACTTCACTAAATTTCCAGTATGAGTGGATTAAAGCTGAGTTTAAGCAATACGTGAAGCAATTAAAGACACTGATAAAACACAGATATTCACCAGAAAGCATTTTCATGCAATCTTTTTCTGCACCAAATGATGGTAAGAGACACTGCGTTTCAGAAGCGGGTCTGAGCTGCCTGTGGTCAGTGACATCATGGGACGTAATCTCTTCCTCATTCAGAACACCAAGAGTGACTCACTGACATTTTGGACAGCAGGTCTGGAACACACATCAGCTTTTTGGGCGTCTGCACAGACTTAATCTGACATTTTGGTTTGTAGACATAAAAAAACGTAATCGAAAAAGAAGTAATACAAGAGAAGGGCAAACTGAGGAAGTGACAGCTGAGATGGCTCCTTTGATGTTCAAAGACGCCTTTTGGGTAAGTCACTTCTTGTGGTCTCGTCAGTGCATTAACAAGGAAAATTAAAATTCACATCATACTTTTATTTAGTTTGAGACTTTTATGTTAAATCTAATATTTTGCTTTTTGTGGAATGCTTAATTTTCTATATACTTACTAAAGTGAGGAACAAGGGGCAAATGGTCGTAATCTTATCACAAGGAGTGTTCAACATTACAACCTAAAGCAGCAAAAAACTGTTGCTAGCATCTTTATGGTCAGAACCTAAACATAGCTAAGTAGGTAATGTAGTAAAAATTTCACACATTAGTGTTTTTGCCGAGTACGAATGTTAGTTCTGCATTTTTACCTCGCAGAGACTCCAAGATAAAGAAAGGACATTTTGTAACAGAAGTTGGGCTTTCCTTCTTGTTGCAGCTTTTCAGTGTGGTTTATGTATTTTATGAATGCAGGGGTCTGACTTCACCTGTCATGCTGGATACGACGCCATGATCCAGAGGCTACGGGAAGGGAGGCAAATGTGCAAAGATATGGAGGAACTTTTGAAGATGAGGTGGAATTTATTTTTGGGACTGAAACCAAACTGCAACTATTAAAAGTGCTGAGACTGTAAAATGATTCCAGTAGAATGTGTTTGTTCTGATTGTTATTTTTAAGAACATTTAACATTTCACATGCCTATTTTCACCATGAATGGTAAAAAGCACGGGCTTTTACAAAGATTCTTTGAGTTAGGGGACTCCAAAGGACTTAAAACAGTTTGTTCCATCCACCCATTCCCTCACTGATTGTGGCAAGCTATATTAATGCCACTGCTGCCCTGGGACACACTGATAGCAATGCAGACGAAGTGTCTAGCTCAAGGACGCAACAACTCAGACGGGTGGAGCTGGGGTTAAATTTACAGTTGTGTAAGATGTTTAGGATATCAATTTATCAAAATAATCTAAATCATTTTCAAGAAAAGAGAAACAAGAATCAAAACTCGCCATTTGACTAAGAGAAGTGTGTGACTCATAGTCATACTTGAGCTGAAGTAGCCAAAACTCACATCTGCATGACTGTGAGTTAAAAACAGCAATGAAGATTGACGAAACAACAGCTTATACTTTACTTGAAATGTAAAATTAAAGCTTAAAAGATTTCTGGGATGCAAAACTCATCTCTGAGACCCTTTATTCAAATCATTTTGTTTATTTATATAGCAAAAAAATTATCTAATTTAATCTTAAAGCACTTAACATATTTAATCCAAAACAATCCAGTCATGCAGACAGTATTAAATACAGGTGTAACCATTCCAGTTTTATTGTAGCTCTAACACAGAGTCGTCACCCATTTGTTAAAGGTATTCTCTATTAAAGCCTAGATGAATGCATAGTCATTGACTTTGCATCACTAATAAAGTCTTTATGTTAAACATTAGTTCAAATTAATAAAGTAAGTAATGCATGCATTTGGTTAAGCTGCAGCATAAATCTAAATTATTTAAGCCATGTTATGCAGCTGTGATAAATAACAAAAACTAATCTTCTGATCATCCACATTTTACCTTCTGTTTTACTCCGCAGGGCACTTGCAGAGGAGAAGTATGGGAAGGAACTGGTGACGATTGCTCGCAAAGCTGGAGGACAAACAGAGATCAGGTAAAAATTAGTAAACAAAAAAGACAATCTGTGCTTCTGAAACTGGCCCGCAATACTGAATACGAAACCACAGTGCAAACTTTTGAGTCAGTCTTTTTTTAGAACAGCAACGTGTATGAGGCACACAGGACATGAGCAAAAAAACTTAATTGGTTGTGCATGTCAATGTAACAACTTCACACTTTGTCTCTTTGCATACTGTAAGACATAACTTACCAGTTTCCTGTTCACTGTGAGAAGTGGCAGGTAAAAAAGCAGCAAAGATGGATAAACTAAAACCAAAATTCTGCGTTTCACAAACTGAAAAGGTTTAGTGGGCCTGACTAGATTTGAAGCTACATATTTTCATTCATTACTTTTGTATAGACTAAAAAGGACTTGAAGAAGATAAAACTGTTATTTGCTTGTTTGCATCCTTTGACCCATCTTCAGCTACATTTTCAAAACTTAAAAAAGCCTACACCTAAAATCATCAAAAATGTAAATGCTATACAGTATATGTTATATTCATGTTGAAATATTTTAATCAGGCTTGGAGGGAAACAGCTGTACATTCATGACTATGATCTATTTTTTTAGCACTTTGAGGGCTTCCTTTGAACAACTAAAATCAAGTAAGTCTGGAACCCAGCCATAGCAACCTTTCCAGATAATGCTGGGACATAACAGCAGTATTATGATTTGCTTTTTGCTCTGCATTTTTTATTTACAGAAATAGAGAACATTGGAAACTTTCACATCCAATTATCTGAGATATCGAAAGAGGAGGTGAAAAAGATTGAGACTTTCCGAGAACGTCAAAAGGAGCAGAGGAAAAAGGTACTGGGTGTTGCTTAGCAATCAGCTAACTAAAAGCTAACTTATAAGTGGTTAAAAATATTAGTTGTCTAATTGATATTTTTACCTACACTTTGTTTCTTGCTTGATATTTCTAATGCATTAAAATCTATTTGCAGAAACTTAGTGTAAGACTTCATTCTATGTTCTGAAGATAAACTCCTAGTGTTAATATCTATTTTTTCATAGTTTGAAAGCATAATGGAGAAGGTTCAAAAGAAAAAAGTTACCATATTCAAGAAGACCATGGAGGTATGTCACAAAAATAATTTCTTTGTATATAAAACGGTAACTCCCTGGGACATTGCATTTATCCATTCCTTACCTTGCAAAACCAAAAGCATAATGCATTTTAAAGGAAAAATATAAATAAATAAACTATTACTTTATATAAATAATTAAACAGAACTGAATAGCAAAAGAGGCCTTCTTTTAATCCTTGTGGTTAGTTGTTGCGTTTGTTTTCTGCTTTCTCCAGTCTAAAAAGACCTATGAAGTAAAATGCAAAGAGGCTGACGAGGCAGAGTCAAATGAGAGAGCCAATGCCCAGGCCAAAAACACTGAAAAGGTAAAGTATAAACATACAGATCACTGAATATTTTTAGATAAAAGCATTTTAACAAAGGTTTTACCTGGCTAGCCTACCTGGCTAGACTAGTTCTATTTAAATGCTGTTAGTCTCCATATAAAGAAGGGACACATCTATTCAGTTTATTTTGACAGATATGACATACCTGTTACTTCACTTCTAATGGCTAAGCTTAAAAATATTACAGATGAATTAAAGGGACTGCTTAGGTAGAGGCAAGTTTAGATTGTTGGGACAAAAGAAGAAGAGAAAGGAAAAGCACTTTTATAATTAATGTTTAATAATTTCATTAATTTATATATATACAGTACATATATAAAATACTAAAAGATACAGTGAGGAGCAGTGGTGCAGGGTTTAAACGCACGTGACATAAATTAGTGGCCTCTGTTGGATTTGAAGGCCTCAGTCCTTCAGTTTGTTGTCAGCGGTTATTCCCCATCTCTCTCAGTCCTATTTCCTGTCTGATCACTTTTAAACGTAACACAAATTAAAGTTTTTAGAGAAAACACAACTATGTGATTTAAAATTACATTTCAGGCTTTGAACATTTTGCAGTGAACTGTACAATCCCTAATCTGAAAAAAAATGGCTTCACTGTCACCATAACATACCGCCCCTAAACTGACCGGCCCATCAGGAAGGGCAGAGTTACCTGCATTAATCCTTTGGTGGCTGTACAGATTGACAGAATAGCTTTTTAATTAGGTACTGCATACATTTGTCTTAAACAGAAAAAATACAAGATTCCCTGAATTCTCCAAACAGAGTCATAGGAAGTCCTCGTGGCACTTTAGCGTTACCAGTTTAAATTACTTCACAACGATATGAAAGACCTTGCAGGGCTGAATGTAAGAAAACCCAAAAAAAACCTTGAACACACCATGTCTATCATTGAACGAAGTTCTGCCAGCATCTTGCTGTAGTTATGCTTTTCTTCTGAGAGGATGGGAAAATTTGCCAGAGTTAATGTGAAGATGCTGGGAGGTTATTATAGCCAATCATGCAACACATGAGCCTGTAAAGCACTTGAGACAGGCTTTTAGGTTCACCTTAAACTAGCAAAACAATCCCCCGTAATCAGTGAAAGCTGATGTTCACATCCATCTGACTGAGCTTCAGCTGACTGCAAGAAGAATAAATGATATCTAGATCAGCAAAACTGGAACTGACATACTTTCAAAAGTTAGTCCATAAAAGAAATTTCTAAAAAGGATCAATGAGGGGGAATAAAAAACTAAAGGCCAACATTTCCAGATTCATATTTGAACACATTATTCAAAATGATGTATAATTTTACTTATACCTCACAGTTTTGCACCAATTTATAAGCCGGTTAATGCAAAAAATTATGCTATTGGAAAGTTTGTGGTGTAACAAAATTTGAACGATTAAGGGGTATTAAGGCCTTTGCTAATCATGATATACTAAACAAGGAATGAGGACAACTTAAATGAAAGGTGCAAGGCCACAGAGCAGGTTAATGGATCGTTAAGAGCATCATTTGCAAAAGAATTTTTTGGGGGTGGGGGGTTATGATCAACCCAAACCTTGTAATATTACATTATTATCCATTTATAAGCGGGTTTTTTTTTTTTTAAGGTTCTTTTCTCTACTTTAATTTGCCAGTAGAATTGTTTCATATTTATTTAGTTGGGATAATGTAACCCACCCGCCAATAATCTGGTACCCTGCTGTTGTGACTTTATATTCCAGGTTGGACACCATATTAATGTTGTGAATAACTGTTATATTCAATTCCCATTCAGCTGGGAATTAATTTTATGTTCTGATACTTTAAGATGTGTATGCCCTCGCAGAGGGTGGGCAGTGGGGATGACATTGGCTCCCAATGTCCAAAACCACGATCATGGCACAACACTGCTACCCGGTTCCAAAACATTTACGATATGCTGTAATTTGCAGACAGCACTGCAAAATGCACAAAATGTCACTATCAGATTGAAATGTATACAGATAAAGAAATAAAAATCTGAGAGTATCATTTATATGGACATAAGTAAGTGGAATAGAACTGTAAATCGGACAAAAAAAAAACTGTGAACATGCTGCTTGAAATATTCTCTTAACAATCAGCTAGTCAAGGCTGAAGTATGGCATGTCATGGCACTTTCATGCGAACTCAGGTGTCCCTGCCTCATCCAGAATAACTTCATCCTGACAAAGATTTACATGCATGCTGATGGGATTGTCAATCAGCATCAGTCAGATAGCATTTAATTATGAAACTGCCAAATTAAGTCAGAATATTCAAACTGGCTTTTTTATTTGAGACATGTTTAGGCCGATCAGCCGTTTACTCCAGTTATTTATGTCCATGTTAATATAGCTAAGTTTTTACTCTTGTTTTTTTTTTTCTAAATAGTGCTAAATGTCATAAAAGAAATCATCATTAGGTAGAAAAAGAAATTCTATTATCATCCAAAAATTTACATTAGATGTTAAATTTTTTTCTTCTGCTTTCCATATATTTACTGCCTGCTCTGGTAATGAGTAAAAATTTAAATTTTTCAAAACATGGCACCAGGACTTTCTGTTGTTCATAAGAAAGTGGGGACCTTACACCCCATACCTGACAGAAAGAAAATGGAGATGCAATAAACTAGAGAGGAAGAAATTTTGCTAAAATAATTAGTTGCATTAAATCCTCCTTCAACTCCTCATAAGTCTATTCAATGACAGCTAAATGACTTTATCTAGTCTGTTAAAAGCCTCCTTCACAGCATATTCATAACGTTCCTGTTGAAAATGTGGTTCACAGGTGCGTCAAAGAGTCAAACAGTGTAAACAAGCTGCTAACGAAGCAGGTAAGATTCCAATTTTATAATCTGTTGTTTCTATTTTTTCCAGCAGTAAATAGAGCACAGTGATACTTTATTGCATTTAATGAACCAAACTTTTTTATAATTTTTGAAGTCATCTATCTGAGTTCCTCTTTGCGCACCATTTGTGTCACTGGTCGTTTAAATCTAGTTGGCTAAAAATTGCTGCAAACTACTGCATAATGTGTAGCACTTACTTCATAAATTAGGGAAACTGAAAAAAACTGAGAAAAGAAGAAGTGGCAGCCTTGACTAACTACCCAAAGCGACTCAACTGTATCTGAAATGGGTGTCCTAAAGAAACAGGAAGAGAGCCACGATGAGACACAGGACCTGAGAGAAGCAAGCATGCGTTGGTTGATCCAACTGGTGCATGCCAAGTTTTAATCAACGGCACTTTCTAAATCACTTTTGGTTCTTGGCATTTTGTTAAAAGCCAGGTAAAGGAATGTAATAAGGTAGTCCAACTGGAAAATTGCTTAGATATAGCTTGATATGTTTATTTACATGTGAAGTCCTTATTTCTAATTTTGATAACCATCGATTACAGTAATATTTCTCTGACAAATCAGAATACCGGGCAAAAAAAAAAAAAAAAAGATTTAGAGCTCAGCATTTCAATATACTCGACAGTATATGGACTCAGCAGTTGGTTAAAGTCCTTTTGTCTCAATACCTGAATCAATGTGTCGAGATTAGAGAGTAGAGATGCTTTACATGATTATAAGTAAAGTCTAAAGTATCTACAGTAAAGTACAAAAAAATCCTAAACATATATATTTTTTTCTGAAAGTTATTAAAACTATTCCACTAGTTATTACCTGCCACTGTTTAAAGCTGGTTGAGTTTGCTGGTGTGACTTTTTTAGGCATCAACTATCTATGTAGCTGCTTCAATTGCACCAAATCTGGAGAAGTTTTGACTTGATTGTCGCTGTTTAACAGTCTTCAAAAGAGAATGCTTTTCGCTTGTCCATGAGATTTTTATACATTTAAATATTTGTTCTTCTGCAATGTTTTCCACTTAGCTTTCACTTCTTTCCGTTAGAGTTATAGCCATTTGGGAAAACTCAACCTTTTTAGCATTGACAATCTCACCTTGCATTAGGAGGGTTTAAGTAACTGTCTGCCGGTCAACTGTCAAATCCCTCTTCCTCAGGATTTTGCAAGCCATAACATAAATTTAATACAACATTGTTTTACCAACTGGCTACTGATTATCAGTCTATTTGTCTTGTACATCTATGTATTAGACTTGAACTGAATCTATGAAATAAAATAGCTTCCCAAAGATTATATAGTTGTTTTATATAGTCCCTGTAACCAAAAGCCTACTTTCACAGTTGACTGTATAGTTTTGCTTTTAGGCTTCACCCACTACAATATTCTGATTTCCTTGCAGAGAGGGTATATTTGACCAACATTGATCAGCTTGAAACGGTTCGTCGAGACTGGGAAGAGACCCACAAAAGCACGTGTGAGGTACTGCAGGTTCTTTTTAGCATTTCTTTAACCTTCTGCATATCCGCAATAAGAGCCTAACTCCAAGGCTAAACCTCAAACCACAAACCGTAGCAAAAATAAAACCCTTCTATTGCTGTTCAATGATAAATTTCACTTCATGTTGCATGGAGCACAAAAGCTGAAAGTATGCAATGATTATCATTAACGAGAAGTACATATAATTTATGAAGTTTTCCTATATCCTGTTGTGTGTGTTTCATTGATATGTACCTTGCTTATATCATTAAGCTTCTCAATTCTTGTTTCTTGCATTTTAGGTCTTCCAGCAGCTTGAGGGGGACAGGATCAACATTCTTCGGTGTGCCCTCTGGGATCACTGCAACCATTTCTCCTTGCAGTGTGTTAAAGATGATGAGGTGATTTTTCTATCTTAATCAGAAAAAAATTGCAAGAAAAAAAAAATGTCCTGCTTGGCTTCTATAAAACAGAGCATTAAAACAGACACATTACTAAATCTCAGCTGCGGTCCATTTCACAAAGCAGGTTTAAAAAAACTCTGAATCAAATCTTCAATTCAAAATTGATCTAGTCTAAGGTTGGTACTCTGAGTTTTCCGTTTCATAAAAGCTGCTGTGATGATTTCACCTAAATAGATACATTGATCTACTACCATTCAAGAAATAATCCCATAATATTTTTTCATGGTAACAACACTATGCCAAGCTGTTTTGATATGTAATAGTTTTATTGAATATGTATTCCATCTAAAAAAAAAAAGGAATTGTCTAAATGACCATTTCAAATAAACATTCTGGATATCTATAATTTAATTTTAAACATTAAAAAATGTTTCAGATATCATCAATGCATTTTCAGTCAAGCTGATAAATGTCAGAATGGCCAATTAAAATGTGTACATTTCTAGATATATAAAACTCCATTCTTACTAGTATCTTTTTCTTTTTTTAATTTCTAAAATTCAGTTTCTGCAACAAAAAATTTAATTTAGAAAATATATTATTCCAGTTGGGTCTAGTAGTGGTAGTAGTGATTTTGATCAGAACGAATCTTATTTTAGTGATCTACAAATGGAATAACAGAGGGGAGTGTTTTTTAATAAATGTAAAGATGGCCTGCCATAGCCCACTTCATATAAATTTAACAATTAACTCAAGCATCAATCTTCACCTTTATCACCTTGCTCTTCTTTGTAGCTCTAGTTCTCTGTCTCGTTCTCCTTTCTTTTCTTTTTTTTGTATTACATTCAAGTGGGATGAAATAAGTACTTCCTGTTGCCTGTTGTCATAGTGAGCTGTTGAATTGGTGCTCCACTGATGATGGCTCTTCAAACTTGTTGTGCACGTGGTACACTCTGAGTGGACCTAGTTAAAATTGATTAAACTAATTGATAGCAGCCGCTGTGAAACCGAACACTCAGAGTTCCCGACTTTTTAGAGTTACAGATTTGAATCTAAATTTTTTTAAACCTGCTTCATGAAAAAGACCCCTGGTCCTGAAGGCACTCTGCCCTGCATGTTTTAGATCAGGGGTGGGCAACTCCAGTCCTGGAGGGCCTGTATCCTGGAACCTTTAGATAGGTCCTTGACTTAACACACCTGAATCAAGTAAATAGATATTTAAAATGACTCTGGAGAAATTGATTGCATACTGGGGTGGTAATTCAACCATTTGGCCTTCAAGACCAGGAGTGAAAAACACTAGTTTAATCAACTCTAAGTGGGTCTACTCAGAGCTGAACACGTGCGTAACAAGTATGAAAAGTCATTATCGGTGGAGCACAGATTTGACATGTCAACACGACAACAGGCAACAGGAAATGCCTGTTTTACGTCACTGGAACAAGTGATTTTAATGCAGAAATGAAAGACATAAATGGAGAATCTGTTTAAAATACAGAGAAGCAGCGCTACAGTTGCAAATAAGAGGGAGATGGCGTAGAACAAGACTGCTGATCGAGTTAATGCTTAAGTTTATTTGAAGTGGGCTATGGCAGGCCGTTTTTAAATTTATTCAACAACTCTCGGTTGTTCAGTTTGTAGTTTACAAACATAAGATTCTTCCTGATAAAAATCACACTCCTTGACAGAACTGGAATAGACTTAACAAACTTCCTAAATTACATTTTTGATGTAGAAATTGAATTTCAGAAAGTTAAAAAAAACTAAATTGTACCAGTAAGAAGTAATTTTCATACACCTAGAAATTTTTACACATTTAAAGTGGCTGTTTTGACATTTATGAGCTTAACTGATTATGTATTCAGTCAATGTATCTATTTAGGTGAAATCATCCACCAGCAAGTGAAGATAAAGTCTAAAAATGTTGATTTTTAGTGAAATCTTTTAATAATATGCACTATGTGCAAAACTATGATATATCTCTGCTGATTAAATCAGGAAATAAAACAATGTGATTGGCTTGAAGGAGAGCAGAGACAGAGGACACTCTGACTTTACTGAACAAAACCTGCTCCCGACCAGGTTAGCTCTGGGGAAAATGTTACTACCGTAACAAAAACCAAGGTTGAGTCAACTCTTTTTTCGTGAAACAGAAAATTCAGTTTCCCTGATTTCAGGTTTAGAAAACTTTCAGTAAACTTGCTCTTTGAAACGGACCCCAGCAAACAACCAAGCTGAAATATTTTTTTTATTGTCACCAGTTCTACAGCATTCATCTATGCTATTGTCAAACAATTAATTCTTCTCTTTTCAAAATGGTTTCAAGAGTTAGCAAAGTAAGAGAGAAAAAAGACGGACAAAAACTCATAATATTTTGCCATTTATTAGCCTTTATGAAGTTCAGCCCATGATTTAACAGCATGTAGCCCCTCCATCAGAGGCAGTAACTCAAAGTTGTCAAGTATTCCTTTGATTCTTGTTGAGGAATTTTGGTGCATCCAGTTCACAGCATTTCACAGTTTACCTTTGAGTCTATATTCAAGGCTATCTTCATGTTATAAACCATATTTTTTCTGGGGCACAGGAATGAACTTCGACTGGGCCATTGCAGCACCTCAATTAATATGTATTTGAGGCATTTTGTGGTTAAGTAGCGGCCAAACATCTGTTCTTTTTTGTGTGACCAAATTTGGGCAAAGCATAGGTTGCTACATAGAGAGGCTTTGCCCAACTTGATTATTTGATTTACATAGGTGCTGTGGTTAAATAAATGACTGCATGGAACCCAAGCCCTTTTTAAAACAAACCAAAATGTTCAATTATCTACCAATGAATTGGTGTGAAGGGTTTTGCAAGCATGTTTTGCATATTAGCATATGCATATTAGCTTTTTATCCCCTGCAGGGGGCTGTTGCCTATTTCCAGTGGTCACTGGGTGAAAGTAGAAGGGATCACAGGGAAACCAGGCATCTAGACACACCGGAGCATGCATGGACAGTTCAGAGAGAGCAACTTGTCTCTTATGAGTGTTTTTGTTTGAATCAGAGAGTATGCATGCATATAGACAACATGCAAGCTGCGTCCAAAAAGAAGACCCTATAGGTTGGGATTTCTAGCGAGGGTGTCTATTTGCACAATCTGCTGTGCCGACTGCTTTAATAGAGTCCTACATGTGTTTAGATGAAGGGTAGTGTTTTCATCAGCTGTTTCACTTTGGGCAGAGCGTCTTCAGGGTGATTGACAGAGTTAGGTCACTGTCACACAGCATATATGTATGCTAATGACTGAAACCTTTGTCTTATCAGATCAGAGCAGTTCTGTTTTTTACATGTTGGCTCTATTCCTCCTAATGCTTGTGGTAAACATGACATGACTTCTTGTGGCTCTTTGTCAACTGTGGCTATCTTTCTATTTTCAAGACTTGTAGATGTTTTTATTTTGTAATCTAACATTCAGACAGCAGCTGAATCGAAACTGAAATTACCCAAAATACATGTGGACTAATTAGGTGATTTCTGAAAGAAAAAAAAAATTGTGTTTAGGATCATAGGAGTAAAAATGTTTCCAAATAAACACCAAATATGTTAGACAAGTAAAGAAAATCAGGATGCCCTTTATAGTTTTCCAACCATGTCAGAAGTATACAACACTTTGCATCGATGTATCAATGACATGAAATCCTACTAGAACATGCTGTTATTTGTGGTTGTTATCTGACAAAATATGTAAAGGTTCAGAGGCTTGTGATCCCAGTGACAGTCTCCAACAGGGGGTTAGTTTTTATATAAAACAGTTAACCTTTGATCAATTATGTTATTTCATAGAGAAGCACTTCATCCCAGAAACTTTCACATGAAAGCTGGACTTGTTGAATTGATTTTAAACAGCATTTTGCTAATATTGCAAGGTCTGAGCTACGTACAAAAGTTGAAAGAAAAAAAGAGTGTTTTGAAGTTGTATTTCTCTCTGCAACGTTTCTTCTCTCATTGGAAGTGTCTTTCCTGTGTGGCTTTGGGTTGAGACACAATTTAAGAATCACTAATCTACCAATCTACAAAACGGGTTCGATTGAATTTAACCTGCTTTGAATTTAATCAGATTTGATTGACACCTAGTGTTTATTCACACTTTTGATTTTTAATAGAGTTTGGAATATTTGTCTCATTTACAACATTCTTTTATTATTTTGGCTTTTGTTAAATGAATGATAGTTTGATTTTCACACGATTAAGAAACAGTTCAACTGATTTTTTTTTAGATGAAATGCATTAATCTCGAAAAAAAAATAAGTGACTGAACCTTTCCTGTTTGCCAAACATAATTCTCTTATTGTGTATGTGGCCTGACAGTACACCAAGATGTTGTATCTTTACACATTCTGACCTTTTCTCTTCCACTCGAAATAAAAGACTAAACGAAACCCACAGCAGAGCATGTTGGTTCATACAGAAACACGGCTCAGTTCATATTTCCTGTTCCTTGTTCTAACTCAGCTCTACGAGGAGGTGAGGAAGATTCTGGAGGTGTGTGACATCACCACAGACAACAACTGTTTTATAGAGCTGAAAAGAACTGGCTCCAAGCCACCAGGTGAGCTAAGGAAAAGTTCCACACAATATGAAGAGATTTTAAGAGCTGCTCCCCATCTTTCTTTTTCTTTAAGTTTCACACCACGTCTATGAACACTCTGTAAAAAAATAACATATCTTTTCCATTAACAGATCCGATAGTGTTTGAAAGCTACTGCCCATCCGGAATAAAGAGGAACAGCAACGGCCAAGCTTTTTTTTCTCAGGAAGATGTTTCAAGAAGGTGGGGAACTATAATTGCATTATTGTGCACTGGAGCTCACTTTAAACTCCTTTAATCCCGTATCAGGATGTTAATGAGGAAGATACTATGAGGATCCTAAAGGTCTTTGTCTTTATTCTGATCACACAGGAGTTCAGATCCTCTAATCAGAAGATCTGTTAGCATTAATGCTGAAAGTCTCTCCTTTTCACAACCAACCCTGGCCTCGGTGGAAGAAAGTAAGCACAGCTATCCTATTTTTAGATTTACACCTCATATGTCTCTTTGCAGTCATATGACTTATTCTACTGATGCTTAATATAATAGAAAAAGACAAACATTTGTTTCACATTTGTTTCACAAACAAAACATGCTGTTGTTGAAACAAAAAGCTGTACTTATCTGTAACATTTTTTGTTTGTCATTTTTTAGCTTCTTCTTTAGGTGAAACATCAGATAATGGATATGCACCCCTTCCTTTATTATCCACAATGCCTGCAGAAGAACAGTTTTATGTTGTGCTCTATGAGTACAAAGCACAGGTGATTCCTAAACAAAACTAAACTGAACAACAATTAGTTCTGTATAACACCATTAATCTAGTATATTTCTGTTTTTTACCTAACAGGAGCAGGATGAGCTATCTGTGAACAGAGGGGACATAGTTCAGGTCCTGGTGAAAGGAGCAGATGGCTGGTGGACGGTGGAGAGGCATGGCTACAGTGGCCTGGTACCGGGAAACTATCTGGACAAAATCTGAACCCATATATTGACTCCAAGCAAAACTATAGACATGTTTCAGCTTCATGCTGCCCTAAATTTCTGCTTTTATAGAGGTGTAGTCAAAGGGTGGTTAATTATGTCACTGAAACCTATTTATTGGCTCTAACAAAGGAGGAAAGTTGCAGACTTATTTAGACCGTGGACAGGTTTTTAATCCTGAAACATTTATAAACTGGCTCTGTTCTTTAGTTTCCATCTTCAGACGTGTCTGTTTTATGGTTAAAAGCTCTACAACTATGATTGCTTTCAAAAGCAAATTTCATGAAAACCTGTGAGCACAAAGGTGATAATACTACTTTCTACTTTCTTTAATAGTTTAGATCTGCTTAAATTACATTTGGGCCCAGACAAATCAGTCCAGTGCATTTCTTGACTGGGCAGGACATTCTGCGTTGGTAATCCTAAGAAAGGGACACTTGAAATTAGTTTTAGAAGCTTTATTCTTTTCAACAACTATAAACAAACATTGTTTAAAAAAAAAAAAAAAAAAAAAAAGGAAACTACTTATTTTGATTATCTGGTTTTGAAAACCTGGTAATCATTTCTGATGACCTGTCATACAGACCAATATCAGAATTTCAGCACAAATAAACAACTGAGGTCGACTTTTTAGCATTTTAAGCTGATGATGAAGTACTGTGGGATGTACGTATCTATCTGCATGTTCAATTGCCGTATTTTCCTCAATATAAGGCGCACCAGACTATGAGCCGGATACAAGCTACAGCAGTGGCTGGGGTGGCGTTATGCATCCACTAGATGCAGCTGCACTGAAGAAAATGTCAGTAAAACATTCAGATAAGGAACTCAAACTTTATTATTATGTTATTTTCAATATGACCAACCTTCTTCAGCTGTAAACGAAAAAAAGAAACAACTAAACTTCAATTTATCTGTTCATTTCTCACAACATATCCCTAAAATTCTCATTCTTCAGTGTCCAAATTGAAAAGTTGGGCTAATATGGAATCCAATGTGCTCGGCTCTGTCTCGTCAAAGTCGTTATTATTTTAGTCAATGTCCCTGCTGTTGTCCTGCCTTCCTGAAAGGTCAGACCACAGTTGAGACTGACATATCAGCCCAGGCATTAATGATCCATGCATATAGTGGCGTATGGCGTTCGGAGCAGTCTCCCCATCTTGGTGAACGTGTGTTCATCCTCTGTCATCCACTGCTCTATCCAACCTACTTTGTTCCCTCCAAACTGTTTATTCTTTACTTGGCGCAGGTCATCATCTTGCTTCCTCCACTTCCACACCATTGATTCATTAATATCTAACTGGTAGCATTGAGTTTAAACTCAATTCTATCAGCCATTATGGGGTCTTAACACACACAATTAGAAATGAAAATTCCCAGTATGCAGCGCACGCTACTTCTTCTAAGGGAGAAAATGGAGTCGGTGGCTGCTCCCCGTAGTTGTGAGACCTTTTGAAGCTCAATCTTGAGCCATACACAGGGCACACCGGATTATAAGCCGCACAGTCGGATTTTGAGAAAATTGAAGGCTTTTAGGTGCACCTCGTAGTTTGGAAAATACGGTACTGCATTTTTTTCTTTTATTTTCCTGTAGGTTATGTAGTGAATCCGTTATTAGCACAACTGCAAAATGTTTCACTTGTATTACCAGTTCTCTTCGTCAGTTTAAGAAACAGCTGCAAAATAGTTTGTGTTAATAGTGAATATAATGACTGTAAGCTATTTGGATATTTAAACAGTTCCATCTTTTAAAGCAGGGCTTTTTTAAACATACTGCAAATATAACTCATTTGTTTTTAATGTATTTTCTACGTATAAAGTATAATGGATGAGTAGGTAAATAAAAGCAATCCAGATGAAATATTTGAGTTTATTTGTCTCCTTTGTGGTTCGGGGTCAAATACAACTTTTAAGTGCCTCGCATCTTTGTCTTACAGGACTAGTCATATTTATGGGAGCGACGTAGCAGCTCGAATATAACAGTACACAATTTCACACACATGGTAGAAAATATCATTTCAGGTCTTTGCATTAGGTTTCTAAATAGGAAAACAAACTTTAGGCTAAAGCATTCATGTAACACTGCTGATGATTCATACAAATGCCCCTGCAGTTTATACTGCAGATGGCTCACTAGTAAAGCCTGATTCAGAGAATGTACGGCAAAAACATAACAAGAAATACACTAATTACAAAACCAAATATCTAAGAACAAAAAAAGAGAGGATATATAGCTGCAACAAAACAGATAATAACAAATGAAAAACTTTTTGAGTCAGTCATAATCAATGGTCTAAAACACTGTATGGTTATAAAAGCCAAAGAATAGCTTATTACAAGTAAATAACTAAGTGTCTTAAGGGCTTCAGTCCTTGTGCAAACATTCTCTATAACACTTCCAGTTACATTTTAATTGGTGAGCTCCAACAAATCCTCACACTAACTGGATGAAAAGAAATTTCAACACAAGTAAAATGTTTGCAAGTTATTTCAATTATCAGCCATGTACAGCTTTGGCTTTAATAAAGGGCAGGATTCAGAAGACTAAAAACAAAAAAACTGGAACTCAGTTTTATTTATTTAAAAAGCATTTTTTTTTTCTTCTCTTTAGACCTTCACCCACTAAAACCAAATTGCTAGTGTTCGCTACTTTATCATGAACTGTGCAAGGTGTGCTTGAGTAAGTACGGCTGAATCTAGTGTGAACAGGTTTTTTTTCTCTTTGTTGTTGGTTTGTTTTACTGATAGCAGTGTTGGCTGGGCTGTGTCCTTTAAGCATAGCTGTTAGTGGTGACCAGCAGCTCGTAGGCTGGATCATGACTCCTCCTGCACAGCACCACACAGGCACAGAGCATGCCCAGCATCTGCAAGCAGGAAACACACAAGGTCATCGTAAAAATGTTTGTGGCTCAAAGTATCTAATAAAAACACACCCACAGATGAAAAAAATAAAAAAAATGAAACACATTGTTATTCCCGAGATGTTTTTTAAACCGTTATTTTAAGTCTGGATCCTTGGAAAACAGGAATTTCGGGATAAATGCAGTTTTGCATGAATACATTTTGCATGATCCGTTTTAATGTATAAATTAAACCCAACAGAAGTCTTTTCCCACTAATATTGTCACATACACTGTGTGGACCACCTTTAGCTGTGAATACAGGAGCTTCCAGTGTTGCATTGTTTCAATGCAATGTCACCAGATTTATTTCCACCAACTGCTCCATTAGATTAGTTTTCACCAAGATATGGCCTTCTTCAATTACTCCAAAGTCCAATCTTTCTGCTCCTTGATATTTTTAAGCCCTTTTTCCCCAGTTATCTTTACTAATTAGTGGTTTTACAGCTACACAACTGTTTGGTTCCAATCCCTTGATTTCCCTTCGCATTGTCATTATTGAACATAGCCCAGTGTTCTACTCTTGTTTTTCTTGGATTTCAAACGTTTTCTGGCTACATTTCTTTTTTGAAGACGATGGGTCCCCTCTATCCTTCCAGTTTTTAATAATGAGTTGAACAGTTCCAAACCCAGCATAGGTCGTTTCTGCAAATCTCCTAAGATGTTTTCTCTGCTTGATGCATGTCAATGATCTGACCCTATGTTAAACAGACCGACATCTTTTTCACGACGGGATGTGTGGTTTTAGAAATGGGAAGCAACTCCAAGCACCAGTTGGGTTAATTAAATAATAGATTATCAAATGGGAGGCCCATACATTTTTGCTTATTTAAATCCAGGTGGTGACTATTCTTTAGGCAGGGCAGTGTATAATCAGTACAACTCACCTTAAAAAACATATCTCTTAAAAGGAAGAATATTTCAAAAAATAGATAATCTGCTTTAGCCAAATTATAGTGAATCTGATAAAAAACAAAAATTTTAGTGCCCCATGTTGGCTTTTTAGACATTTGTTTACAGACTACCATCAATAACTAGATAAGTTATGACATTGCAGATGCTTAATGCTTCTGCAAATGTACAGAAACGTGTCAATGAGATAACAGCAGCACTGAAGGAGTTTCTAGTTAAGTTCTACGTGTGACAACAACTTGATCCATTTCCCATGTGTCAAATAAGAATACATTTTTCCAAATACCCTTGAAAAAATCTCTAAAAGTCTTGTGGGAGAAAGTGGTAGAAAGCCAAACTGGAATTTCTGGCCACAATCCCAAAATGTAAAATATGACATATAAAAAAAACAGTAAAAACAAACAAGAAAATGTAACTTTGAATTGGCCTGGACTTTTACTCATATGGATGAAACAGTCGTGAATTATTAGAACGGGAAAGGGAACCCGCCTGGCAAAATAAAGTTAGAATTTCAGTTTGTTTTTCCTACATTTATTGTGTCATATCTAACATATGACACAATAAACGTAGGAAAAGTTTTGAAAGACTTTATCAAATCCTTTTTTTCTACATCAAAAAAACTCGGTCTTTCCAGGTCATGTGCTTCTCACCTGTATTGATGCAAAAGTTAACGCCGCCCATATGACATACATCATGATCTCCTTCAGTTTCTTCACCACAAGAGCTTCACAGCCCTAGAGGGAAAATGAATGACATCACATGGGGTTTAACTTGGAGAAGAACTTCACTAAGAAAGCCTACTGTTCAGAAAGTAAGAGGAATACAATAAGTTCTCTGTAAATTACTTGTGTGTACCTCTTGGTAGAGATCGCCTGGCCGGCTCAGAGTGCCGGTGCAGTTGCTAATGTTGGGCTGGCAACAGCTCACTGGGACGCTGTTATTCTTGGACTCTTTAAACCACAGTGTGTTCCTCCAGTCAGAGTAGTTGTGAATACCACAGCAGTGAAGCTAGGGGCAGATGATCAAAAAAAATATAAAAAAGAAATTTAGCTTTATTTGTCTTCACTTTTTTTTTTTAAATACTAAGGATAACGCCATAATCTGCTGAACTTTGTATATTTCCTCACCTGCCTCTGCACATAGTCAATAGCCCGACTGGGGGCGTCAGTATTGGGGCCGCTGTACTCATTGTAAACCTTCTGGATGGAGTGATTCACCTCATCCTCTACCTGTAACAGTGAGACAGTCCCCACCAGTGAATATATCAGCAGAACTGACAGAGTTGTTGAACATGATGCACTCTGTAACACTAAGAACTGCCATCTTTAGCCCACATATAGAAAAACACAGCAGGAATAGAAGCCTGTGCTTACCTTTGCCCTGTAAATGTAGCCGAGAACAACCACCACACACTCCGTCACAAACACCAGCAGAAGGATCACAGCAAACTGAAATGGCGAGAAGAGAACGGTAGAATTAGTCACCCAAAATCTGGTTTATAGACAAACATCAGATGGAATTTGCAAGTCTTTCATTTAGATTTAAAACAAGTGACGGACAGCATATCTAATAGGACTCCTCCTGTCTAAATATTACATGTTTCTATATAAGGGTCAATTCACACTGTCCCAATTTAGAGTCTTGAACTTGAAGTTAAATGTTAAAGGTCATTTATAAAGAAGAGTAGACAATAAT